GAGCTCAAATCCTCAATCTTTGCTTCACCAAATATGACATATGTGTCTGAATTTGGGCTCTTGAAAACATCTGGTTTTGAGATGACAAATAGAATCTGAAGTAGAAATCAACAAAGAATCAGAAGAAAGTTATCGCTACAACATAAGCAACTAAAATAGAATTAAAACAAAACAAGGGAAAAAGAGAAGTGAGAAAATAATAATGTCAACTAACATTTTTGCTCTTCTTGACAGTTACACGGCTGACCCCTGGGATTGGCTTCATTCCTAGCTTCAGCATAGCTTTGCGACTCTTCTTCTCACTCCTGCTCTGCTTTGACCTACCACTACCATCTCCGAGTTCTGCCCACAATAATACATTTAAGTATTACCACAATAATCAGAGATGAAGAACTCACCTGGCCTTTCAGTTGTTGCATCAGGACAGAGATAAATATGTAGCACTCCTATTTAAACCAAATGCAACTTCCAACATTAAGATCTTGGTTCTTAAGGATCCCTTTAGGCGAACACGATGACTTTTGTTTTTTTTAACTAACGACTTTTGTTAGTTTTTGATATAATTTCATTTCTACGGGTTTAGCTTGTCCATATTTTGCGGTGAACTTTTGGTAGAGGGCAGCCATCCCTTTGGAGCCAACCTTCTAATACATATTCACCCATTTAGCTTGGTTATTTGAAATACCCTGAAATTGGAACTTATCATCCAACACAAGTGTTTATTCAATAATATTTCAAACTTATCTATTGTCAGTATTGTAAATAACATATAGGATCACAATTAAAACCTAAAAAAAGGATTTTATTGAAATTTTTTACAAATTGTGTGGCTGTTAAAATAAGATTCCCATATGACTTTATTTGTGGATAAATAACACTTAAGAGTATCAAAATGTATAAATTTCAAATCACTACACCCAAATATGTAGGGTTAAAAGGCAGATAAGTTCACACCACCTCGAAAAGATGAATTGCAGGTAAAATAAACCTTTATTACCAGCTCAAATGAAATATCAGGCTGTACCTCAATTAAAATTTTAGACATGGTTAGGGGATAGAGAATAATATTCATGCCTTCGTTGGTTGGAATGGAAAGGTTCAGGAGATTTTTTGTCTCAGACAGGAGGCCAAATCCATCGGACACGATCTAAATCTATGCCTAATGGGAACTAATCAGGAAAATTAACTAAAAACATGAATCAATTCACAAAAATTTTATTTGATAAATAGATGTACATGCTTAACTTACAAGAGATTAGAACAAAAGCAAGCTCTAGTCTTTATTTTCTTAAAAATAACTAAGAATAACAAATGGGTGAAAGGGACAGGGGTAACTATTAATGTGCCAAACAGATTGCAAACATCAACACTATCTCTATTGCATTTTATGTGAGATATTTCCTACATTGGGAATAAACTAAAACGCTGACAAACTTACAAAAAAACAAATAAAAAAGTTAATCAGCTTTCACAACTTCAAGAAGTCCAGTTTATTAAACAATTTAAAGCCTATAATGACCTTTCCAAGCAGACAAACTTAAATACAAACACTTAAAAATAAGACTTTCCTTGTCACGAAATAGATTATATACACAATTAACTCCTTAATCCTGGTACCTATCAAACTGCATCTTAAAAAATCAAGAAGGGAATACAAAAAATATATAGAACAAGAAAATTACAATAAAGTCAGGTACACAAGATTTTATGCAAGCGGTGTTGGTCTATTATCATAATTCCGCAGGTGGTTTAGGGTCTAGGACTATGTTGGTTTTGAGGCTTTACTTCCTGTCTCATATTGATATTACTTTATATTATTTTAAAGATTTTTTATCCTATTATATGCATATAATTGTTTCTTAGAAAAGTACTTTCACACGTGTAAGAAACTTTTTTTTTTGCGAAGGGGTGTCAGATGGCATCCCTATCTAAAGGGCATCTCCACCACTACTGGCATTGATATGTTGAATGATATGATACCATCTTTATGTGAACTGACAGAATATTAACCTAAGCAGGACTCAGAATTAACAGTTAGGTTCTACATTTACCTTCAGTATCATCATCATCATCTTTGTCATCATCATCATCGTCATCGTCATCATCTTCTTCATCCTCGATAATAGGTTCCTCAGACTACAAGAGAACAATTTAAAAACATAAAAGCTTACACAAAGAGCAAAATGACCTGTTCTCTCTTGAGAAAAGATATTTTAATGCCAAACAATGAGAATACACTTAAAGTTTATCAATTTTAGCATCCACATATGAACCAAAGAAGCGTTTACTGCATTTTCCTTCTTTCTTTACACTTCTGTTCATAAATTAATCCTACTAATTCTGTTAGTAGCCTCGAAAGTTTCAAACTCTTACCTCTTTATAACAAAATTAAAACTTTCACTTAAAACATCATTTAGAGCCTCCATGGTGAACAACTAAATTAATTTTTGTTCTCCAAATCTTTATTATTTTTCATTTCTGAACAATTAACTAGCCTCCCAATGCAATTGTAACACCCAGAAAGCTATTTTTTTGTTTAACCATCTAGTAACCGGAACCTACTAGCCCAACTAATCCAGATTGAGCAGGGCCCATTTAAAGGGGCTCAGCTAATTCAATATCTCGATACATACCTAAAAAAAATGTTCAATCTTTCAATTGGAAAGACCATTCAAAATTTCTGGAGGAAAACAGTGAATCATCAGTCTTTTTACATATCTTTGCTTTTTTCAATTTCCAAACTGAGAAGTACCCAGGAATTTAATAGCCTCAGAAATCACATTTTTACCATATGAACATGTATATTAAGTGTTAACAGGTATTTTCTCAAAAATCTAATTTATCTCCCAATTTCTCTACAAATACAAATTTTTCTATTTCACTTAACCCAGACAGTCACAAGACAAGCACGTAAGTACAACAAAATAAAAAATTAAAAGAGTATGAGATAAATCTCAAGCAATAAACGAATCTTACAAAACAATAAATCGAACTATTAAATCAATTTAAACAAAAATTAATGGAGAATTACTTCAATCTTCTGTTGTTCGAGATGAGCGGCTAAGAGCTCTTCTTGCGATTGAGCAGCAGTCATGGCTGAGAATGAGTGAGGAATTTGAGAAATTAGGTTTCTTTTGAGAGAGATAAGGAAGAGTCCTAAAACCCTAAAACGGCGAAGAAAAGCCTTTTTAGTTTTTACCTTGAGATCTGAACACCTTGCCACTACTCAAAATCGAGAAAATTACAAAAATGGTCACTTATGTTTTGAAATAAGTAATTTACTAGTCTCATAGTTTTAATTGTTTTTTTTCAATGAACAGTTTGGTTGTTTAAATTCGTTAAAAATCAGCAATTTTTAGTTTAAATCAAATATCTAATGAACTCTGAAAGTTAGATATAACGAAACTGTGGAAAAAAACTTATAATTACTACTTATATAGAGTGGCTAAACCTTAAATATGTATTGAAAACTAGCTATTTTTTAAATGATGCCATTACAAGCGGCTGCCAAGTGTCATTGCCTACCTTACGTGAAAAACTCTTGGGCTTGGGCTTTTGTTAAAGATTGTTAATAAGTATATTATGTTCTTCGATCTAGAAGAATTAACTCAATAGTTGCGCACCTAATCTCTTAAACTATAAATAGCAAACACATATATAATATATGTATAATATATATATAAGTGTGTATAGTCTATGTATACCACCTAGAAAAAATAAATATTGAATTTGGCCGGTTATTTATGTAATAATTCCTTTTTTATATTTTTGCCTAAAATCTATTCTTTTGAAAATTTCAGTTTCCTTTTTAATTAAAAAAGATAAACACACAAATACATAAAGGTATACGTAAACACTTGAATTTACATTGTTCATTAGAAAACAACAACGGTACGTAAATTTCAGTTGAGGGTTTTAATTATCTATACTACTTTTAAAACTTATTTATTCTCAATATTGAAGTTCTAATTTAATTCCAAGTTGATATACGGTTTATCATTTTTATATATATATGTTAGACTCCAATTTTACCCATCTTCTTTCTCTCTTCTTCCTTTCCCATTCCACTCATCTCTCTCAAAAAAATATCCACTAATTACTAATGTAATAGCGAGGACATTGGCTGAAATGAACTCAAAACCGATGTGCAAACAAATATGTAATTCAAATGACTCTGATCAAAGTGAGTAAAGTGTTAATACAAGGGGAATGAACTTGTTTTCCAATAACAATGTGTTAATATTAGGGGAATTAATTTGATTTCCTAGATACTCAATTAATTTTCAAAATATTCAATTACTGAAAAATATCAAACACGTTGTTAGCCCGCATAAGATTTGAAGTTTCTCATTACCATCTCTTTAATAGTCATTGACATCCATTAAAAAGTTTCGTAACTTTGAATTGAAAAATTATTTTTTGTAAAATTGTTATTTTTTTTGGATTGAATGTTATTGTAAATAATTGCTAGTATCCTTTGAAATTTATATCTCAAATTTGAGAAAAATTGGTGAAGATTCAAGGTGATTTTGGTTAGAATTTTAGATTGAACGCGAAGAAGATATAAACAAATTGTATACATTTTGTATGTCGAATGTAGAAACGCTATACAAAATATATACAACTAACATAATTCTATTCAAGTTGTATATAAATTATATGTAAATTTTAGTTTTTGACAGATTTTTGTAGAAAAAATATAAGTTATAGATAAATTGTAGATCTTGACCGAATTTATATATATTTTGTAAAAAAAAATTAGTTACTCTCTATGAATAGGAAAACACAAATAAACTGAATAAATAAGTTTGAAAATTTTATATATACGAAAAAGTCTTTTCTCCTTATAGCTTACTATTAAACTAGTGTTAATATAAAACATTAATACTAGTGTTTTTATGAAAGAGCGCAATATAAATTATTTATAAATATTCATCAATATTCTAAAATTTTATCTTTAATCAACTATTTAGAGCATTATTATAAATTCATTGCCAATTCGCCTCATCAAAATAAGTAGTTCCGTAACTGAAGTCTGCCCCTTTGCATTGCCAATTGCTACTGTGTCAGTGCCACGGACCGCCATAGTATTCTCTTCTCACGCGATATATATACACACATTTGTTCATCTAGTATATAATTTCAGCATCTTTTGCTGTTCAGTAGCAGGGAGAGGAATCGAAGCGAAAAGCCTAGGGTTTGGTTTCAATTTTCACATAGTTCTGTGTGCAAACTTTGTGAAATACTAGGGTTTTCCCCGTGCCCTAAATCTCGTCTTCGCATTTCGAAAAAATGGCTGGAAAAAACGTGATCTCCGATGACGAAGGTTGTTTTTCTTAAACTTAATTTTTTGAAAATTTTCGAGGAATATGTTTCTTATATCAGCTGAACATGTTAGTAGTTATGTGCATGTATTTTTTATGCTATTTTATTGATAAAAATCAAATTTTTGGTGAGCAGATGAAGTTGGAATTGAGGATGAAGAGAGGGATGAAGAGCCTGTTGATGGAGACGGAGTAGATGAACGGGACGAGGAGGATGAAGACGAAGAAGAAGATGGTATTAACCCTAATTTTAATATGGTTGAATTTTCATATATTTTTTTAGCTTATTATAATGAAGATTGACAGTGTTTTACCTTTGTTATTGCTTGAATTGTGGAATGAGACGGGCCAGAACGGAATTGGAATGTTTATAGAGGATTCATAGTAGACCCAACTAGTTTAAGATTGAGGCTTGTTAGTTTTTGTTTTGCTAATGTTTTGTTGGAGAAGGATTAGATTTAGAGAGTTCAAGACAAATTATTGAGTATTTAGATGAACTTATCCTGAATATAGTGGTCTATGGACTGGCTAAAAGTTGTGGGAGATCGGGGTTCAGACTTATGCTGAGTCTAAAAATGCCAGGTGATTTTTTCCTATCTTCCCGATTCTTGGTGAGCAGAGTTTCTGGGTATGGCGGTACTTGTAGTGGTGGGAGGTAGTGGGTACCGGTGGAGTCATCGAGGTGAATGCTAGCTGGTCCGGGCACCACCATTGTGAAAAAAAAAGATCCCAAATAATAGCGGAATGGATATACAAGTTTCATAGAGCCGGCATCAACTAGTTTGGTACCAAGGGATTGTTAATTGATTGCTAATATTTGTTTTGGAGTTCCAAATCACGTGGATTAAGGTTTAAGGATGCATGGTTTGTCGAATTGGCATTTTATTTTTTGTAAGGAAGTGGATCAACTTCCCTTGAGGATGTGGATTTGGTGGAGACACTGTTTTTTCTGTTCAAGTTAAGTGCAGTTATACTCAGTGAACTTCTGTC